ATTTATCTGACCTTAAGGCCTAGTTTTGTTTCTGATACATTCTATATCTAGTTTTTCCAGTACAGTCATAATTATCAATTATCAATTATAAGCAATGTCCATAGTTTTGTATAAAGTAAAATTTTTCTTAATTGAATGTCTACTGTTTATGAATTTCTGGAGAAGTTCTGGGAAAGTTACAGGAATAAATTTACGATCATAGAGATAATATTTCAGATTAAAAGCTCCGTGTGATAACTGCGAAGCGCCTTACGGTTACCGGAATCACATGCCTCTGAGTATGGATACACAACTTTTTTCTGTAAGTCCTTCTCAAAAACTATCCCTTATGTAGAGTGGTGACATTTGAGGGGAAAGCCACACCCATTTTGCATCTTTATATACATATGTTGCAATGTATTATGTATCGTACCGTATCTTATCATCACATATTTGCATGTCTTAAGATAGTTTTTTTTTATTTGTTTATTGTTTTGTGCATATAAAACGTAGGTGACAAGATTATTGTTATTTGAATGGACGCTGAAGTATTTGCTATGTTGTATCTATAATTGTTTGGTATATTGATATTACTGAAACACTTTTGGATATGAAGATATTGGGCGTCTAATTGAGTGAAAGTATCCAAAATTAGCTCTTAAGAATAAACAACCAGACGTTTCCGGCCACTTGGTATTTATATGTACAATTGGTGTAGATTTCTGAAATTAATTTAATTGTATTTTTTGGAACTTGTAACATAATCAATTTGGGTACTACTTCAAAATGTACAGGACACTCGGTAAATATCACTTCACTCAATAAGTCCGTAGGATAACAATAAGAAAAACTCATTTTTTTTGGCAAAAATCTCCTTTTTTTAATATAGTTTTCTTCGAAGACGATATACCAATTATAGCGAACTTCGAACTTTTCGAAACCATTTTTGTAGTACTATTTGTACTTAGCCACAAAATTCGGCCATCATCTCATTATTTGGCAAAAATTTCTTTAGAGAGAGCATTCTTTTGAGGTCTGAGAACAGTATATGGTCGTTGGGGAACAGATTTAGAGAATATAGTGAGTGGAGAAGCGATTCAGAGCCTAATTCATGTTTTTTGGCCTGATGGAGCAACATGGTTTTCTTTTTCAAATCGGGCCGTTTTTCCGATTCTGATCTTCAAATCTTCCAATAACGTTAAACAATAGACACTGTTGATGGTCTGGCCTTTTTCAAGTTAGTGGATGAATATCATTTCTCATTCACATTCACATTTTGTATTCCAAAATACTGACACCATAACCTTATCAATCCACTCGGCTGGCTGTCTATTCGACTCCGGAGTGTAGTGTTGGAGCCAGGTCATATCGATGGTGACATATTGATGCAAAAACTCAGTTTGATTTCGATTAAACAGCTCCAAATACTCTTACAAATCATCAACTCGTTATGCTTTTGGTCAATTGTGCGTGGCAGCTATTTAGCACAGAAGTTTTTCCTATTCAAATATTTGTGAACGATATGTCCATCACGTACTATTGATATCTGTAGGGTGTCAGCTATCTCAGGGAATTTAACTTTTCGGTTTTCCAATACATTTTGGTGGACTTTTTTATATTTTCCGGTGTAACCATCTCAATTGGCCGCCCAGAGTGTTCAGCATTGCCAGTGTCTGTATTTTTACCGATCAAAAATCAATGATAAATCAACCCACGAAATTGCTTTGAATTCATGGTTTCAAAAAACTCGAAAATTGCGTCACTTGAACCTTTGCAACTTGTAAACTAATCGTTCGATTGTCCTGAAATTTTGATATATATCTTTTTAAAAATGTTGCTTCCTAAAAATCATATGGATGATTACATGGCTACATCATTTATGTGTTATCCTACGGACTTATTGAGTGGAGTTATATAATACAAGCAAGGAGAGATTGCAAGACCGACCAAAACAAACAAGATACTGAAAAAGAGCGTATTTATATTTATTGTATCTCTTTACAGCAAAAGAAATAATAAGGAGTCAGTCAAGTCGAAAACATTTGTTTATCCCAGGCAGAATAATGGCATGGATTACTTACATTGTCTCCATGTTAATAAATTTCAGTTGTAAATTTGAGAGCCTTGCGAAGCAGTAAACCTATTGCACTAACTTCAAAATTAAATAGAAATATTAACAAATAAAAACTTGTTCTTAAGAAGTTATACAATTGTAATAATTCTTTATTACTATAAATTGAAATGTTATTTTTCCCAAATTAGTAACAATATTTATATATTTAGCCTTATAGAGCCTTGCCCTCACTGTGCAGCCCCATATGGTTTTCGCAACGTAATGCAATTGAGTCAAGATACGTACCGGTTCGCCGTAAGTTAAAAATGAGATGCCACTCACAAAAAAGCAGTATTAATTAAACTTCGAAACTTTTCTTATATTACTTTTGGAATGCATTTTAAGATGATTAAAAAATAGTTTATTTTTGACTGTTTAATTAGTTACCTTGCACATATGCAACGATCCCAGTTGTTCTAGTTTTATCGCGGTCAGAAATAATCCAAAATAGCCTACGGAACAATTATGGAATTCAGGTCGAAAATGTTGTATGAGATTGTTTTAACTGCTTTTCCATTTAAATTACCTGAAATGTTAGATAATTTTGTCCGGGATACAATCAATTTTATTCTTCTTTAATTATATAATTAAATAAATTTAACATGTATATTGAGTTTGTTTTAGTAGTCAATTTATTCATTTTAATTTATTATCTAAAACGCTTTTGATGTTGTTTATCTTATCATATGAATTTTTAACTTATTTTTAATTATTGCGGCCTAATTATTATTAATTATTAAAATGCATATTCAATAAGTAAATGAATGGTTTCATTGAACTAACAGTGGCACATTAAGCCTGACCTAATAACGTTAATACAATTTTCGCACATTTCTATTTGCTAAATAACGCATTAAAACCGTTAGTTTGCCCTTTTGCTCTTTTAATAATCTCCATACTTTTTTAAAACCCTTTAAATTAATTTTTATAAATAATCCTAGTAAAAATATTAAGCTTCTTTGTACATATTGGGCATATAATCAGGTGACAAATAAATAAAGCAGAATCAATTTTTCTATGAAAATGCCTCAATAATAACAATATTATTAAGTGTTGTTTTTTGTTGATTTTCCATCTGTTTTTGCATCAGTGCACGTTCTGTTGATTTGATTTGTACTTCTCTGAAACCAATAAACAAAGAAGCCCGATAAATCTCCATCTACTAGTTTTATAAAACTATTTATTAATAAGCGATTTCTAATATAGTACCCTAATTAATATGTAATTTCATCACATTTATTTTCAGGTGTATCACAAATATTAGCTTTGAATATTATAAATGGTATTACTGCATAGTCTTATTCGATCTGCATGCTCTAGCAGAATAATAAAATTGTAATTTTAGATTGTATATTAATTCCATGCTAATTATGTTATCAAATACTTAGGTTTTATAGCATTATGTGCATAGAATTTATGTATGTAATAAATAATTTCAATAACACAAACATATTACTATTTAAGCATGCTTTAATAATTAAGTTCTTACTAATTAGTCAGTTAACAAAATCTTGTGATTTAATAAGAGCTTTTAGGTGTAGATTATCATTTTGATCAATGATTAACAATTCGTTTTGACTATTGTTCTAACTCTTCAAAGTATCAGATTACTAACAAAACCTGTATATAATTAAACATTGCATTTGCACTTGCACATAAAATTATCACATTGATTCTATAAACGTAGAAATGAAATTAAAATTATATAGAGATTTTGCATGATGGTTGTATAAATTTTTAAAGTTAAATAAATAGAAATATTATTTTAACTTATTTGAGTCAGCAATGAAACGTCATGAATTAAGATGTAAAATAGAAAATTCAATAATTTTTCATATGATTGAAAATTTGAAAATTTCATATGATTTCAATTGACTTCTCAATGTGCATTCAAACATAATTAATTCTGTTATGTAGAAGATGGGCGTTTTTCTAATCATCTTTTATTATTGATTGATATTTTATCAAATACAGAATTTATGTTAAAATATTAACAGTATTCAAATTTTACTATTATATATTAGTAACTATTATTTTTTTCAATGTATATCTTTTTCGAAAATCCTTTCGCCTATCTTCTGCAGTGCAGGTTTATGTTGTCTAATATAATTATTTCAATATCATATTGCCAAACAGGGCGAAGTACGAAACGCTTCGGTTTCTGGTAACCTGGATGCACCAGAAGGCGGTTTTGATGCCATCATGCAGGCGGTGGTTTGCCGTGAACGTATAGGTTGGCGCGAGAAAGCCAGGAGATTGCTGGTTTTCTCCACAGATGCTGGATTTCACTATGCTGGTGATGGAAAAGTAAATCCTAAATATATTTAGCTTATTAGTAATTTTTTTCAAATCATTAATAAATATATATTTTCTAGCTTGGTGGTATAATTACACCAAACGATGGCGAATGCCATATGGATGCCAACGGCATGTACTCATATTCTAGTCTTCAAGATTATCCCAGTATCTCACAAGTGAATCAAAAAGTCAAACAAAATGCTATAAACGTAATTTTTGCTGTAACTGAAAGTCAAGTTAATGTTTACAAAAAATTGAGCAGTCACATTGAAGGATCCTCAACTGGTGAACTTTCGAATGATTCTTCTAATGTTGTTGATTTAGTTAAAGACCAATATAGCAAAATTTCATCTTCTGTGGAAATGAAGGATAATGCGACAAGTGCAGTCAAAATCAAATATCATTCTCATTGTTTATCACCTGGAGCTGGGTTAGGACAGGAGACCAACAAATGTGATGGTTTAAAGGTAAATGATATTGATTTTACTGAAACATGTATACTCACATTGTAATTTTCTTTGATTTATATTTGTATCTCAAATGATTGATTTGATATGAAATAATATGCATATTGAATTTAATTACTGTAAAAATTTATATTTTTTTTTAGGTAGGAGATGTGGTCAAATTTACTACAGAGATTGTAGTAACTGAATGTCCAGCTAATATCAGCGAATGGCGTCAGACTATTCAAATCTACCCAGTCGGAATCAATGAAAGTCTGATCATTGATTTGGAAATGCTATGTGATTGTCCATGCGAGCACCCAGGTGGTGAGGCTTATGAACCTTTCAGTGCAAAATGTGGCGGCGCGGGTACTTACATGTGCGGAATTTGCGACTGCGATCCTGCACACTTTGGAAGACATTGCGAATGTTCTGCTACAGATGTAACATCACACTTAGACTTAGCGATGGGATGTAGAAGGGATAATACCACCACGGTTGATTGCTCAGGAAAAGGTAAAATTAAACAACTTTTTGAAATTGATTTTATACAACATTATACTTTAGGGACTGATTTGCTGCATAACAGAAAAATGTTATGGCAAGGCCATGTTATGAAGAACTTTTCATACTAATATTGACAAAAGCAATGCAGTCAGGCGTATTTCTCAAGTTGTCATATAGAAAACTTAACCTAGAAACCGCACAAATGCCAAAAAAAAACGATCTTAGATAACAGTGCATTTCTGATACAGCTCTATAACATACGAGTGACGTTGCAGTTTATGTGTAAAACGCCTGAATGCACAGCAAATACATGACATTTTGACAGTATTCAGTATGATTCACTAGCATAATGTGTAGAAGTCGGAGCGTAACATGGCCTTCCATAACATTTTTCTGCTATGCGGCAGAATTGGTCCTTAAATGTAGACAAGACTTATAAAACAAACAACTTAAACTAGGAAGAATATTATTTTAACGCTATGTTTTTATTTCTCTAGGAACTTGTGTATGCGGTGTTTGTGAATGCGAACAGCGTGCCAATATCGAAGAACAAATCTCCGGCAAATATTGCGAATGCGATAACTTCTCCTGCGACCGTCATAATGGTATTTTATGCTCTGGTCCAGAACATGGTGTTTGTGTCTGCGGTCAGTGCGACTGTCTGCCCGGCTGGACCGGCCCTGCTTGCGATTGTAGAGACACCAATGCTACATGTATCGCTCCAGGATCGACAGGCGAAGAAATGTGCTCTGGACACGGAGTTTGTGAATGCGGAGTTTGCAAGTGTGATGTTGCTGAGGATGGCAGATATTCAGGAAGGTAAGTTAGGGCTACAGTACTGGTAAAAAGATTATTTTGAAAAACAAGTTTCAAAGGTGAATTACTTTTTACTTCAGCGTTTTTAATTGCCCTTAAATTCTAACTCTCTCTTAGCTACGCTGTATGTTTATCCCATGTTGTTTAACATATTTAATAATGTTGAATATATGATATCTATTTGGTAATCTCTATATTGTATAATTTTTAGATACTGCGAGAAGTGTCCTACTTGCCCAGGCCGTTGTCAGGAGTTCAAAGAATGTGTTATGTGTCAAATGTATAAAACTGGACCCCTCACAGAAGAGGAATGTGGAAATTGTACATTCGTACCAATCGGTCAAGATGTAGTTGAAGGTGAAGAAATCTACTAGCTTTTTAATAATGAATACTTAGTAAAAACATTTCATAGTTTGACTCAAAACGATTTATATTGTGCTAAAATAAATCTAATAAGCATAATAATATTCATGCAAGAATAATTTGCTATTCATTAAACAAAAACGTGATATCTATTCTTTTAAATTCAATAATTTATCAATAACTACTTTATAAATGTATTCCTTTTTATTGATAATCTTTCTTTCAATTGCAGCTGATGAAGATAAAGATGAGCATTTATGTTCATACTACGACGAAGACGATTGCCGATTTACATACGTTTATTCGAACGAAGAAGACAAAGTAGTTGTACGAGCTCAAAATGAAAGAGAGTGCCCTCCAAAGGTATGTTTGTTATAGTTCTTTACTCTCTAAATTTATATATATATATATATATATATATATATATATATATACATATATATATATATACACACATATATATATATATATATATATTATATATACACACACATATATATATATATATATATATATATATATATAATGTTGAGATATATAAGTAGGTTCTTTAAGGACAATACATCGAACAAAGAAAAAACAAAGATTTATAAAAAAATCTTTAATTCCAAACATTTCAACATACAATTTGATGTTATTATTAGTGGGTCTAAAAGGTAAACAATTGTAAAAAATTATATAAACTAGGTAACTATAGAAATTATAATTTTGTATAGAAGCTATAAATAGAAGATAAAAACTAAGAAATAACAAAATAACACTTATTAAATTAAAGAGAGAAACTAGATAATAAAATGGAAATTTCATTTTACTTTATAGCTCCACTGAGGATAACATCAAGTTGTATGTCGAAACATTTTTCTCTATTATTTTTCTTTGTTTGATGTATCGCCCTTAAAAAACTTACTCATATACGAGGTCTGTTCAAAAAGTTTTCGCAATTTTCGTTTTTTCAAAAAAATATTTATTTATTCGTCTACATTAATGTGGTCCCCTTCAAAGTAGTCCCCCCCAGATATAATACACTTATGCCAGCGTTTTTTTTCCAATTTTCGAAGCACCCTTGATATTCACTTTTGATATGTCCTTGAGCACTCTCAGCGATTTTCTTCAATCGAGGAAAACCGCCGTCCTTTCATGGGTCTCTTCAACTTTGGGAATAGGAAAAAGTCACACGGAGCCATATCTGGTGAATTTTTGCACTTTGCAACACTTTTTTTCATTTTTTACGCAAAATTTAATACAAATTCTTTGACTTTTTAATTCTTCCATTGTAAAAATCGCCGAGCTCAGAAAAACACGTCGAACCTTAGCGACTACCACAGACAAAGTAAACAGTGAATATAGCTGAAAATTTCATCATACTTTAGGGGCATGTATACCAACACAATAAAAAAAAAATTTTGACAATCAGACACTCCAGACCCGCGAAATTTAATTATTAGTAATTCCGGGTACTTTTTGAACAGACCATGTATATATTGAATATATGTATATATATATATAATATATATATATATATATATATATATATATATATATGTCTCAACATCGAACAAAAAAATCTAAACTATATAACAGTATCATTATGTTATTGGTTTTTCATATCAAATTTGAGAAATTACTTCATATAAATTGACTTTCTTATTTTTTATTTTGTTAAATTAATTCCTTTGTACTAATTTATTTAATAAGAGGTATTCTAAATAAAATAACGGTAAAATGAAATTTATATAGAAAAGAGTATCATCAAAATTTCAATTCAACATTATCTTGCATAAAAAAGTTTGCTATATTAATGGCATATAACTTTTCTAATCAAAACTAATATAAATTAGTACATATTTTTAAAATTTACTAACTATTCGAGAAGTTTATCTTATGATGTCAAATTTCCGTTTCTGAAGTTCTTTTGAAAAGATCAATTTATTACGAGTTTAAACACATAAAAAATGTACTAAAATATTCCACAAACGCAAATTATGGTGTATATTCGCCTGGTTTATCGACTTGGAACGACGTATTCGCGTGCTTCTATGCGATTTCTACTTTGTACAGTCATGCAGACTTATGAATTATATTATAGTAATCGTATCGACGTTTTTATATTTAAGTCACTTCTTTTGGCTAATAGAAAATAGAATAAGTATGTAGGTTCCAAGTTTAATTTAAACTCAACCAAACTATTCATCTAAGATGCTAATGAAACTTTATTTTTATTACTCTGATACTGTCTATTAACTTTAGTTTATAAATAGTTTTACGAATCATATGCTCTTGCACGTGTTTGTCCTCGAACTGCAACTGTAAAATGCAACCATCTACTTATCCAATAAACTGAAAATGAATAGTAAAGACATATTTAATAATTTAGACAGCTAATTTATCTGGATATTTATGATAAATCAACCTTTATTATAATTTTCCGATAATTTATTAGTAGATTTAATTGTGGATCGTTCTAAATTTATTCCAAACACCAAAACAAAGTACTTAGGCAAAATTATTGCGCAGAATATGTTTTAATTCGCATCACTTCAAACGGCCTTCGAAATCATCGTTAGCGAAATAATATATATTTACAATACTTCGTAAAAAAGTTGGACGACCTGAACGATTATAAAAGACGAATGAAGATCATAACGATTCAGATAATATTTTTTATCTCTTTGAGGATATATGGTTTTTTATCTTAGTTGGGGAGCATATTATTCTGTCATTATAGCAGGTATATCTAGCAACAAAAAACTATTGGCTTGTATTTTCTGTTTTATATTTCTTAATGAGTTGGATGGATGATGATATAGAAGTGCTTAGTTTGAATTATCATTTATAATATTGGAATTTTAAAGATCATTAATCTCAATTAATGCTATTTAATTGTCGCTATTAGTGTAACTGATTAGATAGTATAATTGTCTGACTGCGATGAGTTATTGTTTGATAACATTATTTAATGTTTATAATAATTTAATAACATATTGATAATAACTCACATTTCAACATTTATCACTTGGAAGTTGTTTACAGTGTTGGTGTTCTGAGGATATTATTGGAGTATTATATATATATATATATATATATATATATATACGAGGTCTGTTCAAAAAGTACCCGGAATTTTCGTTTTTTCAAAAAAATATTTATTTATTCGTCTACATTAATGTGGTCCCCTTCAAAGTAGTCCCCCCCAGATATAATACACTTATGCCAGCGTTTTTTCCAATTTTCGAAGCACCCTTGATATTCACTTTTTGATATGTCCTTGAGCACTCTCAGCGATTTTCTTCAATCGAGGAAAACCGCCGTCCTTTCATGGGTCTCTTCAACTTTGGGAATAGGAAAAAGTCACACGGAGCCATATCTGGTGAATATGGAGGTTGGGGCATGACTACGGTATTGTTTTTGGCCAAAAAATTACGAACAAGCAACGACGAGTGAGCAGGTGCGTTATCGTGGTGCAACAGCCATGAATTGTTAATGAATTGATATGCCAACTTCATCAGCAACTTCTCTAATTGTGATTCGGCGATCATTCATAACCATTTTTTCCACTTCTTTCACATTTTTATCGTTTGTTGACGTGCTGGGTCGACCGGAGCGTTCGTCATCTTCAACGTCTTCGCGGCCATCTTGGAAACGCTTATACCACTCGTAAACACTTGTTTTTTTCATAGCAGACTCACCATAGGCTTTTTGTAACATTTCACACACTTTGTTACACTTTATTTCATTTTTTACGCAAAATTTAATACAAATTCTTTGACTTTTCAATTCTTCCATTGTAAAAATCGCCGAGCTCAGAAAAACACGTCGAACTTAGCGACTACCACAGACAAAGTAAACAGTGAATATAGCTGAAAATTTCATCATACTTTAGGGGCATGTATACCAACACAATAAAAAAAAAATTTTGACAATCAGACACTCCAGACCCGCGAAATTTAAAAATTCCGGGTACTTTTTGAACACACCTCGTATATATATATATATATATATATATTTATTATAAACTCTTGTTATATAGAAACTTATAACTGCACTGCATTTTGCTGCTTGTTAACGTTTAGGGTTTTGGTTATTTATTTATAAATTAAACGAAGATTATTTTTACATAATTGACTCCTTGCATATTTATTCCTATCTCCCAGATTTTATTTCCTACATTTTTTTTGTGGATCAAGTATCTTTGCCCTTTTCTGCATACCTTTCCAATTATCTAAACATTTCGAATCATTCAGCAAGAATCAAGATTTTTCTTGATATTCAAAATTTAGGAATACACAATTTGATTAATCTTCCCATAAGATGGATTGTCTCTTATCCAAGTAATTTCTAACAAACGCCAAATATCATGTCGAATTAGATTTTTTTTAAAACGAAAAGCCCAGCATGTTTATGTACTGTACGACTCGTATATAATACTTATTTTGTTATTGAAAGTATTAACATTAAAAAACTGCATTATAATTTCACATTAATATAGAAATAGCTTTTTCGTAGAACTTGTATTTGAATATTTAAATTTTGTGTTTACTAGAATTTATATAAAATGAAGTCATACTAGAATTTATATAAAATGCCAATTTCTGATATTCAAAACCAAGGTTGATTCACCCAGAAATATTTAGTTTATCATTTCAAGGTTTCTTGGTTACAGTTCCTGCTTCAGCAGATAAGATTTGTATCGAAAGCGAATTCTCGTGTTGAATTTGTTCATGAAATTAGATATGCTAAATGTCATATGACACACATAACTTGTTTTACATGAATACAGTAGGGGCATTAAATCATATTTTATAATAAATGATATAAATATGAAAGTGAAATGATAAATTAGATATATAATTTGTAGTGATAATCTGATATCACACTGCTAAGCGCTATTTCCACCAAGAATTACTATTTATCGATTTTTGATGAAGTGTATAATTAAAAAAATACTGCTTTATGCATTTTCTTTATTTTTATTTAGGGTTTTGCTTTGAAGAAACAATACCATTGGCAATATATTTCCAAACTCAGTAAAGATTTAAGAAATTCTTAGTATATTTTTAATCTTGATGGAACGATATTAGAATTAATATTTATACTGTATTATTTTAAATTATTACTCATTAATTGATTATTTCATCTAAAATTTAGATAAAATTTTTAAAATATTTAATATAATAATTGATTAAGAGATAGTCATAGTCATAGCACCAAGAAAGACTATTTATCGATTTTTGATGAAGTGTTCAAAATTTAAAAAAAATACTGCTTTATGCATTTTCTTTATTTTTATTTAGGGTTTTGCTTTAAAGAAACAATATTATTGACAATGTATTTCCAAAGTCAGTAAGATTTAAGAAATTCTTAGTATATTTTTAATCTTGATGGAATGATATTAGAATTAA